AAAACAACCTCCAGTTTAAAAAAAAAAATACCTCGACGTGGCGGAAGCACGCGAGCTAGGTCCTGATCGGGAAACGCCAATTAAACTCTCTGAAATCTACAATTATTTTTAGAATGCGGCAAATGGCGAGGCGGGCTATACTAGGCAGACGGAGTGCAAACTTCCGGTCGGCTGGCTGGAGGGCGACGTCGTCGGCCTAGACTGGACGCATACGGAGACGTGTTTATTTTAACCATTAATGTCCCATTCATTCTACCAAAACTCCACCCATGACGGCCCAATATAAGGAGCATAACTCTGTATGATCAAGTGAATAGTTTCACAAAATATTTGTTTTTGTCTAAATGAAATTGAAAATTAAGATAAAAAGTACTGCTTAATGTTGGGAATAAACCTGGCTTTCCAACAGTATTAAATAGAATATATTATATTCGGTAAAAGTACAGTATAAAAATAAAAAATGTCTGAGAAAATTCAAAACAGGTCATTTTCGGTAGTCAACTTTATTTATTTTTGTCTTAACAACTATGCATCGAATTCAACAGTTAAATATCAATTTGGTTATGTTTAACATATATAATTCATAAAATACATGCCTAGATACGTTTAGAGGCATTAATTTTTTTTATTTTTAATATTAAATCTACTAAAAATACGACAGATGAGTCGAAAATTTCGAGATAGAAAGAAACTATTATTTTTTATCTTTCAAAAGCGCCATTGAAATTACAAGACCGGAAAAGGATGCTGAAACCATCCGACTTCCTGTTTAGTTAAAAATTAGGATTTGTAGGCCAAATTTTAATGAAACAAATTTAATTTTTCTATGCTTATTGTAAGCGGGCGGCAGCGGGCGTTACGGGACATTAACGGTGTCGGGCGGCAGCGGGCGTTACGGGACATTAATGTGCGTCACCTATAGCGGTGAGCGGGCAGAAACCGTATGTTCGTGTTACTGGCGTGACATATGGGGGGGGGGGGGGGGCAAGTCACGTCCATTTATAAAGCTGACATTTCCTACAAATAGTTTGTTTCACGTATTACCTTTATGCTGAGTAATCATTACTAAAAATATTTTAAAATTTTTGTTCAACTTAAATTATTTGAAAGGAAATTTAAAAATATTGAACCAGGGATAGCCTGCGTCCTAAAAGCCAGGGAAATATCAAACAGGACCCCAAATCCCTGATGTCATTTTTATTGTGTTTTTAGCGCAATTTCCTTACAGGAATTACGATTATTAACTCGTCGTTTCTGGATGGATGGATGTGTGTCCGGATGGATGTGTGTCCGCAGCTTTAAGTCGTATCTCCTCTCCAACGAAGCAATATCGAGGACTAGTTCCAAAAGCAAATATGTTAAGCAAGCTCCGAGGATGATTGTGGGCCAAAAAAATTCCCGTAATTCTTTCCTGGATTTCCCGGAAAAGCCAAAAAAAAAAACTCGAAAAAATGCAGTTTTTGGTCCATATCTCGGCAACCAGACCACTTAGCGACTTGAAACATTTACCAATCGATTCCTGCCATAATTTAGAACAATATTGCCGAAGAAAGTTTTCAAAAATATCCTTCGTTCGGTCACAAAAAATTAATTAAGGAAATTGCGCTTAAATTGTCACTAGACTTTTTATTTTTTCCTCCATCACATTGCGTCTTGACATGAAGGAAGGGAAATTGTTAAATGAAGAAATACCATTTTTTTAATCAAAGCACTAATAGAACTATTAGTATTACAGTACCGATCCTTGTGGTCCTCTGGGATTAGTGCCCGTAGACCGGCGAGCCAGTCCATCATTGAAATATTACTCGGGATTTGATTCAATCAGAAAGCAACAAAATTATTCAAAGCTGCACAAGTCAGCAGTATTTAATTAACGTGAATCTTCTGCGATGGTTGAGTACTATTGCCTGCAGATTCATCGTGGAAAGCTAGAGAACTTGTCATCGTAGCCATACAACGTAAAAACTAAAAAAATTAAAACTATATAGAATCTACAACTACACTCAACACACGTATAGATCCATCTTAAGGCCGGTTTTGGAATGTCAGCTTTGCGTTTGTCAAGGTACAGCCTGTTGTACTGGCTTGGCACTTGTATTAATCTATTGGATGATTTAGTATACACAAAGTAAACTGTACTTCTTATTTCCACATCTCTGCTGGTAGTCCCAATAGGAAATGGGAGGAGTGGTTTAGTTACCCGCACACAGACAACTGTGTGTAGAAAATCTTGTCCAGATAAGCCCCGCTATAAGTTAACCTCCGGCACCAAAAAAAAATGTTATAAAAAGAGGATATGAAACTTGTACTTTTAGATTTTATCGAAGAATGTGAATTGGGGCATATCATTAAGAATGTGCTTGTAAAGGTATGTAGTTCGGTACCTTTAACCATTTTAAGAGGCGTGCGTTTAAATATTCGAAACTCTAGAGTAGGAACAGGTCACAGAAACATTCCTCACTACCCAACCTCCACCACTTACCCAACCTCCACCACTTACCCAACCACCATCTACCCAACATCCCCCACCACCCAACCCACTGATGGTAGGTGGTAGATACCATGACCAGCTGGGAACCTGCAATAGACACGGACGTCTTTGATTGGTCCGCGGGAAAGCATGAATGGCAAATGGGATTGGCGCATGAATGAGCGGGAGAATGAATGCGTTCCGTGTGTATACGTGTACTGTGTGTACACTACACGGGCGTATATGTGTACAATACAAGGCGTTTACTATGTACCATACACAGACGTCTATTATGTACAAAACCCGACTATGCTATGTATAATACATACAGGCGTATCACATGAACGACTATTTACAATACACGGACGTATGCTATCTACAATATACAGGAGTATGCTATTCTATAATACACAGACGTATCATATCTACCAAAACAGGAGTATGCTATCTACCATATACACGAGTATGCTATTCAAAAATACACAGACGTTAAATACAGACGTACAATACAGTGACATATGGGCCAACTGTGCAGCATAAACCACCCGTCCGTGGAGCAACAGTTGCTGGTGAATGGCAGGTCAGGCGTTAAGCTGGGGGGTGGGGGGGTCTAGCCATGCTAGTTTCTCATGAGTCACTACCAACCTTTCATTCATAATTACAGCCGCTGCTGTTTGTGTATACCCTCGCCCCCTGCACACTTGATTCGTTCATTCATGGCTCTACGGCACATTGGACTGTCGCTTACTGCAATATTTCCAGTCCCACTTTTTATAAAAAAATTACATTTAACTTCAATCTTGCTGTTTTATAATGAACTTAATTGTAGTATTTATTTATTGTAACTACATTTTATTTTCAGAGGTCTTTTTATTTTTAGTCCAACTAGGATAAAAACAAACCGTGTAAGCCATATAACTCTGGGGGGAAGGGGTTTTACCTCGTGCAGAACAAAACACGTTTTAGCACTAAGAAAATGAATTCTTGGTTTGCTCAAACGTGTGCTGGTGTCGAGTGAAATTCTTGAGCTCTTTAGTTCTAAGCTACACCAACAACATGTCATTCGATTAGGGTATTAGTTCAAACCAGAGACCGGCATTTTCCGGCTTTTTTTTTATTTCATTAAAACTGTTCTTATATGCCAGCCATAAGGAGTTTTATAGAATGTTGCCAGTATAGTTTTTATTTCAACTATAGTTAGCCAGTTTAGTTTTTATTTAAATTGTAAAGCATTCCTGTACAACTGGAGGTTTATCTTTGTTGTAAGTGACACACTTCCACCCCCACCCCCAATATCCTCTCTCCAGACCCACACCACCACCTCACCCCCACCATAAATCTACGCCACTCTGTAGCCTATCTGAACAAGAGGAGTGTAAGCCCTAAATGTATTGAGCTAATGAAACATGCACCCCCACCCCATCTTTCCAGTTGGTTAAATACAGGATGTAGCTGGCGTTTGGTATTGAGTTGTTACAATCAGGCAGTTGGTTAAATACAGGATGTTGCTGGCATTTGGTATTGAGTTGTTACAATCAGGCTCTAACCTGTGGCAAATAGCCCCATTATTCTCATTTCATTTCTTAGTAAGGTATCAGGGGCTTCCTTGACAAAACGTTTACAACACACTTCTAAGAATAGAGGGGAATAGATCTAGTTTTAGTAATTAGAAAAACATGTAAAGGATTTGTAGTGAAAGCAGCTATTGTCAGTCAAGCGACCCTGTACCCATCCATTTTGAGTCAGATTAGATGATTACAAGACCACATATTTCACCTGGACAATCACATTTCACCAACTGGTATGCATAAATTAACATCTCACCTATTGATAGTCACAAAGTCACATCTCACCTTTTGATAGTCACAAAGTCACATCTCACCCATTGACAGTCACAAAGTCACATCTCACCTTTTGACAGTCACAAAGTCACATCTCACCTTTTGATAGTCACAAAGTCACATCTCACCTTTTGACAGTCACAAAGTCACATCTCACCCATTGACAGTCACAAAGTCACATCTCACCTTTTGATAGTCACAAAGTCACATCTCACCTTTTGATAGTCACAAAGTCACATCTCACCTTTTGATAGTCACAAAGTCACATCTCACCTTTTGATAGTCACAAAGTCACATCTCACCTTTTGATAGTCACAAAGTCACATCTCACCCATTGACAGTCACAAAGTCACATCTCACCTTTTGATAGTCACAAAGTCACATCTCACCTTTTGATAGTCACAAAGTCACATCTCACCTTTTGATAGTCACAAAGTCACATCTCACCTTTTGATAGTCACAAAGTCACATCTCACCTTTTGATAGTCACAAAGTCACATCTCACCTTTTGACAGTCACAAAGTACACACTAAACCTGTACACACTAGACCTACAGCTAATTTAGACATCTACACACTAGACCTATACCTAACCTATCCCCATTTAACCTGGACTTTGAACTCACCAAAACCTCCCCTCTCCCTATTTAACCAGGACTTTAAACCAACCAAAACCTCCCCTCTCCCCAGTAACCATGCTGAGTAGACCCTAACACAATGAGCAGCGAGCCACACAAAGTCAAGGCAGATGGCTATGGAGACAGCGTCATCAAACATTTTCAGAACCTGCGCACCGAGAATGAGTTGTGTGACTTCAAGGTCTTGGCCCAGGGAAGGGTTTTTGAGGTAGGAACTTCTTCAACAACGATTCCTCCTAGAACATTGATTTACCTTGTGTACCACTTGAAAAATTTTGTCAAGTTATTATCAGATCTTAGGTTTGATGGGCTCATCATTCAAAGATCTAATTAATTAAATTTTATGATAAAAGGGTGCAGTTAATTAAAATTTCTTGTCCTTGCTATAAAAAGATGACCTTTTACTAAGAATAGACCTTAGAATCTGTATGCCATTTCTAGTATCCTCCAAAAAATCAGCAACACTGAATAGTGATTCCAAAATATTGACTCCTAAATGCTGACTCTAAAATATTGACTCCTAAAGGCTGACTCCAAAATATTGACTCCAAAATGTTTATTTCTAAATGCTGACTCTAAAATATTGACTCTTAAATGTTAATTCCTAAATGCTGACTCTAAAGTATTGACTCCTAAATTAATTTATAAATGCTGACTCTAAAATATTGACTCTTACAGATTAATTCCTAAATGCTGACACCTAAATGTGGACTCCTTAATATGTCATCTCATGCTTTATATCAAAGATTTATTATGTTCTGTCATGGTTTATTTTAGCATCATGTGTCATGTCAATAATCTATTATGTTATGTCAATACTCTATTATGTCATGTCATTACTCTATTATGTCATGTCATGGGTCATGTCAATAATCTATTATGTCATGTCAGGTCCACCGGGCACTACTGGCTGCCACCAGTGATTACTTCCGGGTCATGTTCAAAGGTGTCATGGCAGAGAGCAGACAGGACACCGTGGACCTTAAAGGTGTTTCTGCTGATGGTCTGCAACAGGTGTGTACATGGTGTTTCTGTCATGATGGCATTGTTACTCTATGTCAGGATTTGTTTTACCTTAGACCTGATGTCATTGTTACTCTATGACAGGATTGGTTTTACCTTAGACCTGATGGCATTGTTACTTTATGTCAGGATTTGTTTTACCTTAGTCCTGATGGCATTGCTACTTGATGTCAGGATTTGTTTTACCTTAGACCTGATGTCATTGTTACTATATGACAGGATTGGTTTTACCTTAGACCTGATGGCATTGTTACTTTATGTCAGGATTTGTTTTACCTTAGTCCTGATGGCATTGCTACTCTATGTCATGATTTGTTTTACCTTAGACCTGATGTCATTGTTACTTTATGTCAGGATTTGTTTTACCTTAGACCTGATGGCATTGCTACTTTATGTCAGGATTTGTTTTACCTTAGACCTGATGGCATTGCTACTTTATGTCAGGATTTGTTTTAACTTAGACCTGATGTCATAGTTACTCTATGTCAGGATTTGTTTTACCTTAGACCTGATGTCATTGCTAGTTTTACCTTATTCCTGATGACATTGCTAGTTTTACCTTATTCATGATGACATTGCTAGTTTTACCTTATACCTGTTGACATTTATACCTGTTGACATTGCTAGGTGTTATCAGATACTGATGTTATGAAAAAAACATGAACAAAAATGTCACTAGACTATCTGTTGTAACTGATATATTTAAAAGTATTTCTCCACTACAAAATAATGAAGGCTTTATATGAACACTATGTGTAGGATCAAATAATTTGAAGCAAAGTCAACTGATTTAACCTTTATATCCCTTCAACACTGTGTGTTTTTATACATTAAATTTTTATCATTTTAAGTGCACTTATTTCTTGCTTTGACTATATCTAAAGAAAAATCTGTCAACCGTATTTAAAGCTTACATTATTATGTTCACTCAAAATCTTTTTATGTAAAATTTATTATAGTCTTGCGAAATTTTAGCTGTTTAAAATTATTGATTGAATATGAAACTACTAGTGCATTTGTGTTATCCTGATACAGATAGTCCCTGGGTTTTTCCAATGTTTTTCTCTAGGTTTTATTTTTAGGTGGGTTTAAATTAGTTGTAAACCATTTGGTTTTCCTCAGTGGAATTTGATATTTAAAGTTAGTGACACTGAACAGTTTCCGTTTTTTCCTAGTGAAAGTTAAAATTAAAAATTAGTTACAATGAACTTTTATAGTGTGATGGCGTGGCCTAGCTGTAGAGCACTAGACTGCTACCCAAAAGTCATGAGTTTGAATCCGGGTTCAAGTCACTAGAATGTATCTGAGTCCACCCATCTCTGATAAGTACCTAATTCACATTAAGGAAAGTATAGGCAGCTGGGCATAGTGCTGACGACACTATCCCTACATATGCAGACATCACAGAATCAGGTGAACTCTACTTCACTTTCCCCATGGACCATCAGGTTCCTTTTTTTTTTACACTGTAAAGATTTAAGCTTTTCTTAGTGAAAGTAACATAGGAACATCCACATTGTCCCAGTTGATATTGCTAGGTTAGTGTTGGACTGTAGACCTGGAAGTCCCACTGTCTCCAGGACTTGTATAGTTTACATTAGAGCCATGTCTCTGTTCTCAAATGTGGTGGTCAGCTCTCCAGTACTCTCTAAACATTGTGTAGGTTTGGTCTACACTTATGTAAGGGACACATAGCCCTGATTATATTTGAACTTATAGTTTTAGAGTAGTCAAAACTAAATATTGTCTAGGTTTGGTCTACCCTTATGTAGTGCTCTCATAGCCGTCCTGATTTTAAAACTTATAGTTTTAGAGTAGTCAAAACTATTGCTTTATTTTTAAACAAATTTCAGCTATTTAAGAGCTCAGTTATCCCCTCCAACCAACATATATTTCTGGGGACTATTCAAGAAGCAACCAGTAACTACAGTTGAATCATAACATTTCACCAACCAGTTACTACAGTTGAATCATAACATTTCACCAACCAGTATCTACAGTTGAATCATAACATTTCACCAACCAGTAACTAAAGTTGAATCATAACATTTCACCAACCAGTAACTATAGTTGAATCATAACATTTCACCAACCAGTATCTAAAGTTGAATCATAACATTTCACCAACCAGTAACTAAAGTTCAATCATAACATTTCACCAACCAGTATCTATAGTTTCAATCATGAGCTTGACATTTACTTGAATGTCTAGTCTTGTTGACTCCATTGTACTGTGTTATTTGTTTGAATTCAGTGCTGGGACATGATTTCTATAAATTAGTAGAGGGGATGGAAGCAGGCGTTCTTACTGAAATAGCAATGTAAACAGAAACTTTAAATTGCTATTTCTATAAACTAGAAGGTCACACCTTTTAGACACTAAAATCTTGCAGTTAGGACTGATGGTTTGACTAAGTAGCTCAATAGTTTCAGATCATTCTAACTCTCTTGTATTACTTTAAATGCCTTTTATTGATGTAGCTATAGACAGATGTTAGTTAAGAAGTGAATTGGTCTTAATACTTGAATGTTTATTTATGAAACTGTGTACAAGAGTTAAACTTTATCTACAGAAGAGGATGTGACTTAGTCCTAATGTTTTTTATTCACCAAACTGTACGCAGGTGATAGACTTTATCTACAGTGGGGAAATGAGTTTATCAGATGAGAATTTGACTGAGGTTATCAAAATGTTTTTTTTTTATTCACACAACTGTACCCAGGTGATAGACTTTATCTACAGTGGGGAAATGAGTTTATCAGATGAGAATTTGACTGAGGTCATCAAAATGTTTTTTTTATTCACACAACTGTACGCAGGTGATAGACTTTATCTACAGTGGGGAAATGAGTTTATCAGATGAGAATTTGACTGAAATCATCAAAATGTTTTTTTTATTCACACAACTGTACGCAGGTGATAGACTCTATCTACAGTGGGGAAATGAGTTTATCTGATGAGAATTTGACTGAAATCATCAAAATGTTTTTTTTTATTCACACAACTGTACACAGGTGATAGACTTTATCTACAGTGGGGAAATGAGTTTATCTGATGAGAATTTGACTGAAATCATCAAAATGTTTTTTTTTATTCACACAACTGTACACAGGTGATAGACTTTATCTACAGTGGGGAAATGAGTTTATCAGATGAGAATTTGACTGAGGTCATCAAAATGTTTTTTTTTATTCACACAACTGTACGCAGGTGATAGACTTTTTCTACAGTGGGGAAATGAGTTTATCAGATGAGAATTTGACTGAGGTCATCAAAATGGTTTTTTTATTCACACAACTGTACCTAGGTGATAGACTTTATCTACAGTGGAGAAATGAGTTTATCAGATGAGAATTTGACTGAAATCATCAAAATGTTTTTTTATTTTTTTTTTATTCACACAACTGTACCTAGGTGATAGACTACAGTGGGGAAATGAGTTTATCAGATGAGAATTTGACTGAAATCATCAAAATGTTTTTTTATTTTTTTTTTATTCACACAACTGTACCTAGGTGATAGACTACAGTGGGGAAATGAGTTTATCAGATGAGAATTTGACTGAAGTCATCAAAATGTTTTTTTTTATTCACACAACTGTACCTAGGTGATAGACTTTATCTACAGTGGGGAAATGAGTTTATCAGATGAGAATTTGACTGAGGTCATCAACACAGCCAGTCACCTGCAAGTTGCCAGTGCTATAGACGTCTGCAGCTCCTACATAAAGGTCAGCTCACTATCAAAGACATTGTGACCTTTGACATTTGCAGGCTTTAAAAGAACATGGTTGCCTCAAATAAGATTGGGTCTATTGTATTGCTCTAAGCAACCCATCATTTCTAGACTAATTATTCTGATATAGCAGTACATGCTAAAAAACATCCCATCATTTCTAGACCAATTATTCTGATATAGCACTACATGCTAAAAAACATCCCATCATTTCTAGACTAATTATTCTGATATAGCACTACATGCTAAAAAACATCCCATCATTTCTAGACCAATTATTCTGATATAGCACTACATGCTAAAAAACATCCCATCATTTCTAGACCAATTATTCTGATATAGCACTACATGCTAAAAAATATCCCATCATTTCTAGACCAATTATTCTGATATAGCACTACATGCTAAAAAACATCCCATCATTTCTAGACCAATTATTCTGATATAGCACTACATGCTAAAAACATATTTAGACCAATTATTCTGATATAGCACTACATGCTAAAAACATTTTTAGACCAATTATTCTGATATAGCACTGCATGCTAAAAACATTTTAGACCAATTATTCTGATATAGCACTACATGCTAAAAACATTTTTAGACCAATTATTCTGATATAGCACTACATGCTAAAAACATTTTCGACCAATTATTCTGATATAGCACTACATGCTAAAAAAACATCCCATCATTTTAGACCAATTATTCTAATACAGCACTAGATTCTACAAGCTAAAAAAAAACATTTTTAGATTATTCTGATAAATCACTCCATTACATACCGTTAATGCTTTGTGTTGTAATTAATATTTTTGTCTTTAAATTGTTGACCAGTCGCTGTTGACCTTTGAGAACTACGAAGAGCTGTTGTCTATAGCTGACACGTACTCTCTGGAGTCTGTGGTTGTCCACTGGGAGAACATGATACATGAGAGGTTCATGGAGTTCACTGGGACACAGGTCAGTCAGACACATGTGTGTTGTAGGCACTAACAACCTGGTGTAAGGTGGGGCAGGGGTCAGTCTGACACATGTGTGTTGTAGGGACTAACACACTGGTGTAAGGTGAGGCAGGGGTCAGTCTGACACATGTGTGTTGTAGGGACTAACACACTGGTGTAAGGTGGGGCAGGGGTCAGTCTGATACACATGTGTGTTGTAGGGACTGACCCACTGGTGTAATGTGGGACAGGGGTCAGTCTGACACACGTGTGTTGTAGGGACTGACCCACTGGAGTAGTGTGGGGCAGTAGATTTATGGGTTGGGAGGGGCCGGGGGGGGGCATGGTTGGGTCTGATGCTGGTTTTGTAGGCACTGACTCTCAGGTGTAATGTGGGTCAGTAGATTGGAGGGTTGGGAGGGTCTGACATGGGTCAGTTAGACTGAGGTGTTAAACACACTGAACCTCAAGTGTATAACTATGGGTCAGTATAATTGTGGGTTGGGAGGGGTGATATGGGTCAGTCTGACAAAGATATCGTATGCACTGACCCTTGGGTATAATTATGGATCACTAGAATTGTAGTAGTCAAATGACCTACATGTATAATGAGGGTCTTCATACCTGTAACATTCTCTGAGAATTTCTAATCAACAATTAATATCCAAGTCTAAGTTAGCTAAAGCTTTCATGTTCAACAACTGACAGGACTACTGTTGATAGTTGAGCACTTCTCCCATCATACATCTGGACACACTGAATAAGGTGTGCAAATGTATGGTGTATCATGTATCAGAAATACAAGATTCAATAGATTATCAGCAAGCCTCATCAAACATATTCATAAACTGTCATTGAAACAAAACATTTTAATTACAGGCTTTCTTGAAGATGGACGGTGATAAGTTAGCCAGGCATTTGTTACAGAACAGCCTGCGTGTGCCATCTGAATATCAGCTGTTTGTCAGTCTGGACAAGTGGTTTCGGTAAGTTGCAAGTTACAGCATTTCCCCACTAACTCTTTTTATCAGTACATTAACTAGTTAATATCATCCCATTGACCAGTCCACTCTATTACATTGACCAGTCCACACCTATCCCATTGACCACCAGCCCACACCATCCCATTGACCACCAGTCCACACCATCCCATTGACCAATCCACACCATCCCATTGACCATCAGTCACCACCATCCCATTGACCACCAGCCCACACCATCTCATTGACCAGTCCACACCATCCCATTGACCAGCCCACACCATCCCATTGACCACCAGCCCACACCATCCCATTGACCATCAGTCACCACCATCCCATTGACCACCAGCCCAAACCATCCCATTGACCACCAGCCCACACCATCCCATTGACCAGCCCACACCATCCCATTGACCACCAGCCCACACCATCCCATTGACCACCAGTCCACACCATCCCATTGACCACCAGTCCACACCATCCCATTGACCACCAGTCACCACCATCCCATTGACCAGCCCACACCATCCCATTGACCACCAGCCCACACCATCCCATTGACCACCAGTCCATACCATCCTATTGACCGCCAGTCACCACCATCCCATTGACCAGTGTTCTAATGGACAGGTTTCAAGCCACTCGACTGGCCCAAGACTCAGCTAAGCTGCTCAGCAACATCCGCTTTGGTCTGATGTCAGAACAAGAACTGACTGCAATCCGTGATACAGATTCTATCAAACGCTGTCCAGTTGGTCAACAGCTGATAGCTAAAGGCTACCATTACCACATGGACAGCAAGAAGGGTATGTCTCATTGTATGGATATTAGTCTATGCAGTCTTCATGATTGAGCTATCTTTATGAGTTGTGCTGTCTTCGTGTGTGTACTGTCTAAACTGTTGTGCCATCTTCTTAAAGTTCCCTTTTCATACCTGACGGTCCATGGGGCTAGTGAAGTAGAGTTCACCTGTTTCTATGACCTCGGCATTTAAAAGGATAGTGTTGTCAGCCTTTTCTTTAGAGTCCATCTGTGTCTTTGACCACTGTGTGGTCTGTCTTTTGCCCAGCCCCTGATCTGACCAGGTTAGAGCTGGGTGGACTTAAGGATGTTGTACAGACACAGCTAAGTAGGAAGTGAACTCAGAACATTGAGATAACTAGTTGTGTGTTTGACCACACTGTCCTATTTGTTCCATCTTCTCAAGTTCTGAACGATGACACTTATGTTCTTTGCTTAGTGGCCTAACTGCCAATCCACTATTGTTTTCTCTATCTGTAATCTTTCCCAACTGAACCTGACCTTTGTGTTTGCAGGCCACCCCAGCATAGACGAACACTGCAAGGTGCGTGCAGATGAAGCAGCCATCGTCATGGTTCACCTGGGTACCTCCCACATGCCCTTCCAAATCACAGCATTCAACCCCACCACCAAACTCTTCTACTGCCTCTTCAGTGACGTCAACGGCATCAGGGACTGTCGGGTGGCCTCTGTTGACAACTTCGCTTACATTTGCCGCGTTGTAGACTTTGGGGGCGGGACATTAATGAGCTCGTTGTTCAGGTTTGACCCCCGGCATCTGATTGGTCAAGAGCTTCGACCAATGAGACGACTTCGGCTGGAATTCGCCTGTGTTTCCCACACCAGGTGTCTGTACGCGTTTGGTGGCACAACGGAACAGTTCACCATCCTGGACTCTGTCGAGTGCTACAACGTCCAGTCCAACACCTGGGACGAGCTGCAACCCCTGCCGGCGCCCACACACTCTCTAGCCGCCGTGTCGCATGGCTCCAAAATCTACCTCTCTGGTGGCATCTCTGGTCAGGACCGCACCATAGTGGCCAGTTTTTTCAGCTACGACCCCGTGACCAGACGCTACGAGCCAAAGCCCAGCATGTTCTATGCCCGGCGGCTTCATGACATGATAGCCTTTAAAAACCAAATCTTCGCCCTTGGGGGCATCTCCAGGCAGGGGATCCCCCTCTACGGGCAAATTCCAATTGAACGTTTTGACATGGTGACCAACCAGTGGACCATGTTATCCTCCACGCTAGGCGGCAGGTCAGTGGGTCATTATATGTTCCTGGACGAAGGTCAGATCCTCTCCCTGGGGCATGAGCACCACAGTGCAACCGAAGAGGAAATGTGGCTGTACATGCCGGACAGTGACTCCTGGTCCAAGTACTCTAAGGCCCCCCACAGGATGAGTCTCAACTCGGCGCTATGCATGCAACTGTACATCAACTTTTTCCAGGAGAAGGTCTCCAGCAAGGTGATGAAGGACAAATGATCTGAAACCCAGGGGCCATCTTGTTTTATTTTCCCAACATGAGCATTCTGCACTTGTTACCTCAGAAGAATTGAACTCTCCTGTAAAGGAAATTATGTTCATTCAATGTCGGCAGGGATCTGCAATGTACTATTTTCATCTTTATATACATATATATATATATTACTGATACACATGTACAAAGTGGTGTCTTTGACACCAGACTGATGAGATCTAATGTCATGTCGTCAAGGCAACCAGTTTGAGGAGCTGTATTCTGATGTCAGGAACACAGGGTTGATAAAATCATGTCTATTATCATGTTGTCAGGAAATCAGGTTGATGAGATCTCATGCCCATCAAGATGTTGTCAAGGACCCAATGAAGTTTCACAAGCTTCCACTACCAAAGTATTCAAATCTGGACAGGACTCACTGATAACTATGGAGAGTCTAGCCACCCATGGGCAGTTCCCTCCCAGTTTTAGCTACACTGTGCTATTATTTGCAATATGGATCTGCAGTGATGGGTACTGGCTAGCTTCAGTTTGGTATTTCCTGGAACTTATAAATTGATGAAATGTTGGCCGATGTTATAAGTAAGAATACCAATCACAACAAGCCAACATTTTTACAAATGTGATTTCTGAAGGAAAGTTGCTAGAGCTACTATCCTTAATTTTTATGCATGTTATTTCTGAAGAAATATGTTTGAGCTACCATCTACGTTTTTTACGGATGTGATTTCTGAAGGAAAGATGCTAGAGCTACCATCCATAATTTTTACGCATGTTATTTCTGAAGAAATATGTTTAAGCTACCATCTGTGGTTTTTAAAGATGTTATTTCTGAAGACATAAGTTTGAGCTACCATCTGTGGTTTTTACGCATGTTATTTCTGAAGAAATACGTTTGAGCTACCATCTGTGGTTTTTACTGATGTTATTTCTGAAGAAATAAGTTTGAGCTACCATCTACAGTTTTTACTGATGTGATTTCTGAAGGGAATATGAGAGTGCTCCCAGGCAAAGTTTACATTGTGAAAAAAGAAATCTGTAACAGATGGACTTGTAGGAGCTAAACCCATCTCTTGACATGAACTGTTTTTTATCTTATTGTTTGACCCTAAAGTTCCACAGGTTTTGCATGTGATATTGTTCAACAACCAGACCTTTATAGGGATAAACATTCAGGAACAAAAAGTTGCATTAATTAGAACCATATTTTCACTTTTATCATGATATACATTTCTTTATGTATATACATTTGTCTGTGTTACTGTGTGTAGTATAACTTCTAAACAGACATTTCATAGCTGTAATACTTGTCTTTGTAGAATATTTCACTTTTATGGTAACAGTTTATGCTGTTACTCTTGCATATTTTATTTTTGTTAAATGTAAAAAAAAAATTTTATGGTTTTTTAGATTAATTTATTTCTGTTTTGACCTACTGTATGGCTCACTGGAATTATAAATTCCACTAGCCTAATTATATTAATGAATTATTAATTCCTCTAGCTTAGTGCTATTCAATTATATATTCTTGGCTAAGTTGGGTTTCTTTGTTATAAAATGAATTTTAAGAATGTTACAGAAATATCAAATAGTATTATATGTTACTTACAAAGGAAATTTCATCTATTATTATGGGAGGCTTTTAATTTTAAATTTTCCCCAAATTTTATTAAGCTGTCTAAAAATAAGCAAGGACTGTCCAACTACTTATTTACATGTTAAAATCGTGAAAACAAATACTTGGGTTTAGATGGTAACTAAAGCAATATTTCTTTCATTCTGACTGATCCAAATCTCCCTTTTATATTTAGACTACCTTTTATTTAAAAACTAATTTCTTTTGCTTGGGTTTATTGATCATGTTTCTAAACCAGCTTTTTTAAACATTGCATATTGTCATTTTGAAAAAAAAAGAATTATTTTTGTGCTTTTTTTTTTGTAAATATTAGAACATTCAAATGTGGCCAACAGCTCTAATTGAACATCACAGAATGTGTGGCCAAAATTGTCAACAGCACATGACAGCAAGTGTAGTCACCAGCACCTCACAGAAAATATGGCCAATAGCAACTCACAGAAAATTTGGCCAACAGCACCTCACAGAAAATTTAGCCAACTTCCAACATGCCACTTGGCAACACTGCTTGCCAAAAAAAAAAAAATCTGAAACAGTTTTAAGCTAAATCTGGCTCTAACAATTATTAAAGAGGAAACAGTTCAATAAGATATAAAAAAAATGTTTTAATTAAATAGATTTTATGTCCTTGTTCTTTGAGTGTCTCAATTGTATGACTACACAATAAATGAAATAGCCATTCTGTAGTAACCTTGGCTCATGTTATAGTTCTACCACTGCAGCCATATGCTGGTACTGAGGCTGCCACTTAGATAATTCAATGACAGCTCCAAGATTTAGCTCACGAAGAAAAAAAAACTGGCCATATGTTGGTACTAACATAATTCAATGACCGCACCAAGATTTAGCTCACAAGAAGAAAAAAAATACTGGTCACATGTTGGCACTGACATAATTCAATTCGGCACAAGATTGAGCTCACAAGAAGAAAAAAAATACTGGTCACATGTTGGCACTGACATAATTCAATTCGGCACAAGATTGAGCTCACAAGAAGAAAAAAAATACTGGCCATATGTTGGTACTGACATAATTCAATGACGGCACCCAGATTTAGCTCCAAAAAAAAACAAACTGGCCATATGTTGGTACTTAGGCTGCCATAATTGAATGACTGCATCTTTTACTTGTTTCATCTCTGCATCAGGGTTAGTCTTTTGCCTGCTGTTACCCACCAGACCTAACTATGCCACACAACCTAGGCAGACAACTTGAGTGCCACCTAAGAATTGAGTGTCTATGTGTTGTAACATTTCTACAGCTGTTTATAGTTAGCTACTGTTATGTTTCCTCCTTCAAACCAAAGAACTTTTTCTCTTATTGAGCGAGTCCACTTGTTTGTAGTGAATTAGATAAACTTATGTGTAACCTGTTTCTAATTGTAATTACTGATGTGATGAGGGTGGAGTCATTAACAAAGGTTTCAAATTATTGTGTACATATCAGCTCCAGGTCATAATGTAAATCACGCCAAAATCTCTTTGGTTTTTTTTTTATTCACTGTAATACAAATAGTAGCATTATATTTTTACTTTATTTTCATTCAAAAAATATTGTATCTTTAATTTAATTACATTTTTTGGGAAGGGTTTTTTCATACATTTTTTGGCATTATTATTTTTTTCATTTTATAATTTGCTTCAAAAAAAATTTCTTTCAAGCATTAGGTTAGAATACTTTCTCAATATTTTTATTTGCTTTAGAATTACTGCTTTGAAATACAATACAACAAATGATTTAAATATGTTGCTGTAGTTTTTAAAGAATGTTGAATTTTATTTTTCTCGGGTTGACTTTTTATACATTTTTATGATTATTTTTACTGGTGAAAAAAAAAATGTAATATTTAATGTATCAGTTTCATGTAACCTAAATTTAGAACATCAATCAGAAAAAAAATTTTACTTTGGATTTTTTAACTAGTTCAAGAAATGTTTTACCCTTTTCTTGGTTCAAATGGTAGTTATCCCCCTTCTAGGTTCAAATGATAGTTATCTCCCTTATGATGTTGTTTGTTGACTTGTATTCTATCACTGAAAAAAAAAAAGCATTGTCTCTTGCTGTGATGACCAATCATGTCAATGAGGGCTAACCTTTGCTTGTATGTTTTACAGTAAATTTCATGTACATAACATGCATGGCCTTATTGCCACTCTATAACAAGGAAAATATTCCTCATGGTTTTGTTTTTTTCTAAAGCCACTGTTCATTTTATGTGTCAACCTCGCAAATCAGAGACAGGAAATGTAATTATTTACTTTTTCATTTATTTTTATACAGTTTATATGACATACAGGAACATTTAGATTTAATCAAATAAATGAAGCCTTAAAGATTAAACTACCTCTAATGCTTTAAACTACAGGACAGTTTTCAACCATATAGCTACCTCTAATTTTACACTATTCACATCACTACCACTAGCATATCACTACACACATCATAACATTACCTCAATCATATCACTACACACATAACACTACCTCAATCATATCACTACACACACCACTACCTCAATCATATCACTACACACACATAACACTATCTCAATCATATCACTACACACATCATAACACTACCTCAATCATATCACTACCTCAATCATATCACTACACACATCATAACACTACCACAATCATATCACTACACCTATCATAACACTGCCTCTATTATATCACTACCTCATTACCAGCATCATCTGATAACCTCAATCATATCACTAACTACCTACATCATAACAGAACCTACAGTATATTACTTCCTCCAACAAAACACTACCTCCAACAAAACACCATCTTAAGTACAAAACTCTAATGAAAACACTACCTCGTACAAAATACCACCTCCAACAAGACACTACCTAAAATGAAACACCTCCAACAAAGCACCACCTGAAACAACACTTCTTCCATTGTAATACTAACAAACTAGCCATTAAGTTAAAAGAATTTTTTTTAGAAGTCCCTCCTTTAACAATCACTAAAAATTACTTTTGTAAGAACACAATTTATTGTAAGGACTACAAATAATTTATCTGCTGAGCATCATGTTTAGTTCTCAAAGCAGTGTTAACACTATCAGATCTTTAACATTTTATAGTTTCACATTACTAACAAAAGATAACATACAATTTATAGTTACAAGATATAATATATATTTTATAGTTTTGACATAACTATAATAGATTAAATATTTTAAACATAACTATAATACCTCTTAATTTAACATAACAATCAGATAATATCAAAGATTTATCTTATTTATAAGATAAATACCACATTATAGTCAGTATGATAATTACCACATCTAATAAAGATTGAATGTACTAGCAGGCTACAGTCAATAAGATTAAGTACCATCAGACATAGTAAAGTGATATGGTTTATTATAATTTTCCTGTTGCTTTCTGTTTCAGACCTCGACTTGAGAAAGAGTATAAGAAACATTACATTCTTCATTTTTTAATCAAATTGTTTTAAAATTTAATTTTTTAATCAACTTAAATTAATTTTAATAAACTTATGTCAGAAGCTCTACTTTTAAATAATTTAAATCGTTTTGAATATAGATCTATATTAATTTTTTTTAAAAGCCTTATGAAAAATATTGATTGAAAAGTTTATTTACCTGCAAAGTTTTTTTTTCTGGTATACTGAAATTTTTATAAGGGCAGCTGAGCCGTTATTTTATTTGTGGATCACTTTTAAGTGCTAGATTAAAGTAAGTTAGCAGTGTGTCTGCTTTATTATGACTTGGTCTATTTGATTTTTGAACATGCCATAAACTTCAAAGGCTACTTATTTCAAATGTTATATTTTTTTATTAATGCCTTGCATGCTCTCCCTTTGTTTTCCATGTTTTTGTACATTTTGAGTTACCTTCCCTTGCCCATTATAGTATAGCTTTGCCCGGTGTTCTAAATAAATCTGCGATATTAGCTTTAGACATTATTATATTTTATTTCTTTGCTATGTCAATTATAAGTGTATTGATATGAGCGTACAGAAGAGTGCAGTATAATGTCAGGTTGTGTACAGGAAAAAATGTGTACTAAAATGTGCACCCAGTATGTTGTTGTGGCTCTGAAATATTGGGTTATGTGAAGAACTGTATGTTAGTTGTGTATGTTTAGCTTGTATGTTGTTGGGGCTCTGAAATATTGGGTTATGTGAAGAACTGTATGTTAGTTGTGTATGTTTAGCTTGTATGTTGTTGGGGCTCTGAAATATTGGGTTATGTGAAGAACTGTATGTTAGTTGTGTATGTTTAGCTTGTATGTTGTTGGGGCTCTGAAATATTGGGTTATGTGAAGAACTGTATGTTAGTTGTGTATGTTTAGCTTGTATGTTGTTGGGGCTCTGAAATATTGGGTTATGTGAAGAACTGTATGTTAGTTGTGTATGTTTAGCTTGTATGTTGTTTGATTGTATCAGTGTTGTTGGGGCTCTGAAATATTGGGTTATGTAAAGAACTGTATGTTAGTTATGTATGTTTAGCTTGTATGTTGTTTGATTATATCAATGTTGTTGTGGCTCTGAAATATTGGGTTATGTGAAGAACTGTACGTTAGTTGTGTATGTTTAGCTTGTATGTTGTTTGATTATATCAGTGTTGTTGTGGCTCTGAAATATGGGGTTATGTGAAGAACTGTACGTTAGTTGTGTATGCTTAGCTTGTACAAGGTCATGAGTGTTGTTGATTTTTTTTTTTACCTCAACACACAACAAGTTGTCTCCCCTAGCTAGTCTCTATACCTTTTATTTGCAACTATTAGGTCAATTTTATACCTTGTCTGTAGAAGTCAATTTGTACCTTGTCTGTAGAAGTCAATTTTGTACCTTGTCTGTACAAGTCAATTTTATACCTTGTCTGCAGAAGTCAATTTGTACCTTGTCTGTAGAAGTCAATTGTGTACCTTACTTTATTTCTGTAGAAATCAATTTTGTACTTGTACCATATGTTTGTAATTCAAATTTGTACCTGTACCTTATGTCTGTCACCAATTGAAGTCATTTCTCTGTGAGGTAATTTTCTACATTACACCACAGAGTCAAGTTGATTAGTCGCTTTTCTTTTTTTTCAACAAGTTAGAAATTCATTTTTTCCATCCAACTACTAAAGCAGAATGTTAAATGGTTAGGTTCTCATTCATGTGAATTGCTCCAACTACTAAAGCAGAATGTTAAATGGTTAGGTTCTCATTCATGTGAATTGCTCCAACTACTAAAGCAGAATGTTAAATGGTTAGGTTCTCATTCATGTGAATTGCTCCTTATTTTGGTGAGAACTTGAAAGCTCTAAAAAAAAAAGCTTCACTTTCTGTTGAACAAAATAAATATTTAACAATATTTTTTTTTTGCTTGTCAGAGTTTGGTAAGACAATAAATGGATAACGGTAAATCTAGGACCATTGCAGGACAACCATATAGCTACCACATCACTACCATCAGCATTTAACTACACAACATCATAGCAATACTTCCATTACATCACTACCACCAGCATATAACTTACACACATCATAGCAATACTTCCATTACATCACCAGCATATAACTATACACAT